AGATGAAGAGGAAGATGAAGGGCATGGAAGACAGACACGTGGAGGACAAGCAACCACATGATAGAGAAGAAAGAGCACCAGAAACATATGAGTTCTGGATAGCCTCATGAAGTAAGAGAAAGGATAAAACAAAAACAAAACAAAACAACAAAAAAGCAATAACTTCAGCAACAACAAAAAACCTTTAATGAGACACAGGGATATTTTTCTTACCAGAATTCCATACCCTAATGCGGTCTCTACCAGCCACTGTGAGGTATTAGGGTATGGAATTCTGGTAAGAAAAGTACCGTGGGTACCCTGTCCCATTAAAGGCCTGTTAGTTTCTCCTATCTCTTCAGCATACCCCATGTTCCACCTTTCTGAGTGATGTTCCTGTTCCGAAGTCAGTCACCTGACAACCTTGAATTTTAGGTCTTCACCCAGGCCAGAAATTTCGTTTTCTTGATCAGAGAAAAATGAACATCTTTCAGTGGGTCCTTATTGCTACTGTGACCTTCCCTTCTCTCAAGATGTTGTCCTGAAATCATTTAGGAGTCATGAGAGCATTCAAACATCGACATTCCTGGCCTTCAGCCAGGACAGGCCCAATAACATTTTCAGTTTACAGCCGAGACATGAATGGAGGTTCCTGTCCCTGAACTGTCTATTTCTACTTCCTATCTCAGAACTATTTTCCTTGCATTTCACTACTGTTTTTTTTAATTTCTTAGTGTTTTCCTTGCATTTCACTACTGTTATTTTTAATTTCTTAGTGTTCTTTCTGTATCTTAAGACTTTAAAGATTTCCATGCTAATAATTCCAAGTTTATATTTCCATCCCACTCTTTCTTCTTAACTTCAGGCTAAAATACTCAGCCGCCTATTTAATGCATGCCTGAATATCTTAGATCTCATGTATAAACCCCATCTCAAAGAAAATTGTTACAGAGACATTCTTCCCCTTTTATATCAAATATGAAAAAACCCCTTAAATCAAGGGAACTTTCTTTAAGACTTTATTCATTCCTACCCCAGAACATTTGTTCTGTATATCTTTGTGGATATATAACCATGAGTTGAAAAAAATAGAATTTTCACTTTCCAAAATAATAATCTGGTGCAACGACATCTCTGTATGAGCTGAATTTGGTCAGAGGAATAAATAATAGTGAATTCTTTTACCCACTTGATTAGTGACACCCTGAAAAAAAAAGAATGACTTTCAGAACCGCCGGTTAAATAAGAAAGCTCCAGACAACATCCGCTTTTCTGAGTAACTTCAGTGATTCTGAATTATGACATTTTGCTGTTGTTTCCTTTTATGTTTTTTTAATTACTGACTTTATTTGCATGAAATGAGGATCTGGGTTGCCTAGGAGTTCATCTGTTCCTACTGCATATTCTTTTCTTAAATAGGCATGCTCTGATATAGTTTCTCTTGTCGCCTCCAACATTTTGACAGAGCTGGCTGTCTTCTCTCCTCCAACTGTCTTCACATCACTCCTGGAGAGAAGGGTTATTTTAAAAGACGACCAAGAGAGTTTTCAAAGTAGCCAGTGAATGAGGGGATCATAGTATTGGGAATAAGCTGTAAGGGGCGGGGGTGCTAAGTAAAAAAATGGCAGCAGTGTTTCCTAAAGGTTGTGTGAGAAAGGAAGGACAATCCTCTACACAGGGTGTGGCTTAGGTTTCTTAGCTTGCTTCTTCAGCGTTGTTTTCAGTGGAACTGGATACAGAGCAGAATTGATGGATACTCTAAAAACCCTACGAAGTTCCATTAAAATCAAGCTTGATCTATGAATTTTGATAGTCTTAAATCTCGATTTAGTTTTTGATTCTGCTGATGCTGTAGTTGAGGGTTTGGGTCAAGAAAAAGATCACCAATTATTGCATCAACGACTATAAAAATGATCTTATCAGAAAAAGGAATGCTAGAGCAAAGACAGTACCTTATGAGAGCAAGAGGTGATCACACATAGAACAGCCCACTCAGGGGGAAGGGTGTGGCTGTATCTGCAAGAGTCATGCATCTCTTAGGACTCACAGCTATCTTTTAGTTCCTTACTTGATGCCACAGGGATGCTTAGGTTTTTTTTGATGGCCAGTTAAAATTACTATTTCTATACCAGGGAAGATGATCCTTGACTCCAGCTTTGTTCTGTTCCAACCCTAGCTGGTGTTAGAGAAAACCCACTTTTTTGATGATGTTTTTGTATAGTTTGTGGCCTTTCCTAAAGATTAGACTGTATTTTTGAAGTCTTATACTATGAATATTTTATCGTTTTCCTGTCTTTTTTTTTAACCATCAAATCACATTCCAAAAACTTGATAGTTATAAGTCAGCACAACATATTACTCATTTTAGAAATATAGCTGCTTTGGATAAGTTGGTGTGCTGGCTAGTTTTATGTCAACTTGACATAAAAATAAAGAGTTATCTGAAAGGAGAGAACCTCAGCTGAGAAAATGCCTCCCTAAGATCCAGCTGTGGAACATTTCTTAATTAGTGATTGGTGAGTGGGGGTCTAGTCCACTGAGGGTTGTATCATTCCTGTGCTGTTGGTCCTAGGTTCTGAAACAGTGGTTCTCATCCTTCCTAATGCTGGACCCTTTAGTTGATATGGTGACTCACACCATAGAATGATTTTGTTGTAATTTTGCTATTGCTATAAATAGTAATATAAAAATTGATATGCAAGATATGTAATATGTGACCCTCAAAGGGGTTACAACCCACAGGTTGAGAACCACTATTCTATAAGAAAGCAGGCTGAACAAGTCATGATGAGCAAGCTAGTAAGAAGCACACTTCCATGGCCTCTGTGTCAACTCCTGCCTCCAGGTTCCTGTCATGCGTGAGTTCCTGTGCTCATTGCTTTTGATGATGAACTGTTATACCAGTGTTTCTCAACTTTCTAATGAAACTACCCTTTAATACAGGTCCTCGTGTTGTGCCGCCCACAACCATAAAACTATTTTTCTTGCTACTTCATAACTATAATTTTGCTACTGTTATGAATTGTATCTGTGTTTTGCGATGGTCTTTGGGGAGTATTGGTTGAGAATCACTGGGTTATATGGAAGTAAAGGCAAATCAATCTTTTCCTCTACAAGTTGCTCATGGTGTTTCTTGATAGCAATGTAATCCAAACTAAGATAGTTGGAGAATTAGCTGTGGGTTGACATCTGCTATTGTCTTCAGCTTTTTCCATATTCTGTACTATGACAAGACCTTGCTCTTTGTAGGAAATTCTTTGACTAAAGAAGCTTGGAGGTGGCATTAATTGCAAATAATGAACATGGCCTATTAAAGATCATAGTCTTCTCAGATTTGCCTGGCTTCATTATTACACAGTCTCTGTGGTGATATAAAAATTCTGCTAGCAACAGAAGGCATGTGTCCACCCTGGACAAAAGGACATTTATTTCCACAGCCCAAGGCTGATGTTGATAGATAACATTTTTGCATATCTTAAATGTTTTATGGAGACAATATTTAAAGAGAAGAAGGGCTTTCACAATAATCTGCTTTGTGAATGAAATTTACATCTCTGGCATGTTGCCTTTTTTGATATGTCTGTCAGGAAAAAAGAACCTCTTGTTTTTGAGACAGAGTCTCACTAGGTAGCCTTAGCTAGACTGGAGTTCCCTATTTAGAATGGGCTGACTTCAGTCCCACAGAGATTAGCTTATCTCTGCCTCCTGAATGCAGGGATTAAAGATCTTACCTTTGACAGAAAATCAGAAACACAATATTGTTTGCCATCATGGCATTTTTATACTTATGCTACTCCACCTTAAATTATGACAAGTTTCTAGACTTTGGTTTTTTTTTTTTTGTTGTTGTTCTTTGATTTTGCTTGTGTGTTTATAGGAGGTATGCCTGTATATGAACGTGTGCTCCTATGTGTGAATACACACATGTGTACAAGCATGTGTAGACTTGGAGTTGACATTAGGTGTCCTCCTCAATTGCTCCACACTTATTTATTGATGCAGAGTTTCTCCCTGGAGCCTGAACTCAAGGATTCTGTTTAGTATAGCTAGCCAGCTAGCCAGTCTGCCCAGGGCCTAAGACCCCTCAGTCACTGCCTCTCGAGTATGGTCCTGCAGAAGGCTGCCACACATGCATGGCTTTTCCAGGTGTTCTGGGGTCCAAACTTCAATCCTTACACTTCTGCAGCAAGTGCTTGATCCACTGAGTCACTCTCTAGGCCTAGCTCTTAGTTCCTCTAAGACAGATTACAGAGTTCTGCCTCTGGCGTGGAGTGATGCCTTGTAGTCATGAATTCAACTTTAACATGGGATAATATTAGGATGATTCCACCAAATCCCACACTTTCCCCATATTAATGCACTGCTAAAACGTTTTATAAGACCATTATATTCCTTTGTAAAATTGAAGCTTGAGTTTGGGTATGAAATAAACAGAAATCTTGAATGTTAAAGTCACAGGTTCCCACTTTTTTTTTTTTTGGTTCATACTCTGGGACATTTAGACTGCACTGATATAAGGCAGTAACTGAAATAGGGAAGATCCAACTTTGGTTATGTCTATACAGGAAATTTTTTGATATAATACTTAAATTTTATAATGTTTCAAAAAGTCATATAGTTTGTAATATTTGGATGTCTGTATTATATAATCAGAAAAACACTAGTTTCCAAAATAGAAATAGAAAAAATGTTTTAAAATACTTAACTTTTTACTTTATGTGTATGAAGGTTTTATGTGTATGTAGGTTTGTGTACTATTTGTGTGTATGGTGTCTTTGGAGGCCAGAAGAAGACATTAGGTCCCTTGGAACGGAAATTCCAGACAGTTGTAAGCTGCTATGTGGGTGCTGAAAATTGAATCTTGGGCCTTCTGTACGACCAAAAAGTGCTCCTAATGGTCCAGCCATCTCTCCAGTTCTAGATTTTCTTTTCTTTTTTCCCTGCACAAAAGCCTTATGGTAGAAATGATTCTAGTACAGTCACACAGGCATTGAAGTAATTTCTGTTCTTTTCTTCAACAGTGCAAATCCAAGTGGAGGAGAAAGAAGAAGACACAGAGGAAAGCTCAAGTAAGCAAGGCTGGGCTCCTTGGGAAGAGTTTCCTGTGGATTGTAAGGGATGCAGCTGCCAACTTGTCCCCTGAACCACCACATAAAACCATAGGCATGTGTGGGCATGTTGATCAACCAATTGAACACTCACTCTAGGTTCTGTTCAGCTGGTGGTTGCACAACCTGCTTATACACATACACATTTGTACACATGAATGCACATACGTAGACACAAACACAACTTACAACTTGCTCATCATGAAGAAATTAGTCATGTTTAATATTTTCTATTTCTGTTCTATTTTTTTCTGGGAAAGCCTTGGCTGATGACAAAAATGGGTTGGCTTCATGCTGGGTTTGGTGACACATGGGTGGTAGCACTTTGGAGGCAGAGGCAGGTGACTCTTTGTGTGTTAAAGGCTAGAATTGACTATATAGTGCATCCTGGCCACTCGTCTCAATGCTTGCATGCACACACACACACACAGTCACCTGTCTGCACATTTCCAAAGTGAATTAGATACTAGGATATTTGGGCTGACCTGAAGAATCAACTAAGCAAAAGAACATGTCTGTCTTGAGTACCCCATTTCTAGATAATGTGTATGAAATGCTACTTTGTTTTCACTTTGGCTAGATTCAGCTCAAGAGTCAGGTCCCTTTCCAGGCACCCAGACCACACATGGGCAGGGATATTAGGAAGGTCATTGTATGAGTAAATGTTCAAACTATTTTAAACCAAAAATGAAAGAGAAGCATCTGAAAAAGAGTTCATTTTAAGGAACACCGGGCTAACACCTCAATACCTATACACGGTGAGCAGACCGCCAATGATGCCTTGACTAAGAACTCCTTCCCCACAAATGAAAACTGCCTGGAACTTCACTGTGTCTTGCTTAAATGAGAATCACATCTGTTTCAGAAGTGTCGTTTAATAGACAACCTTGAACATTCACTGCTTGAAACTTGAATATGTAGAAACTAGATAATGTACTAAAGTTTGACTATTTTTGTTTCTAAATTGCATTCTAAACTGCAGGTGTTAACTGGAATATATATATGTATATATAGCATATATGTATATATAATATATATGTATATATAGCATATATGTATATATAATATATATGTATATATAGCATATGCGTATATATAATAATGGTTTAAATATATATAACCCATGGTTAAACCATTCAAACTTAATAGCATAGATTTTTTATTAATATTTCAGGCAAACTTATTTCAGAACTCCCCCTACCCTCCATCCTCATACCAGCTCTTTGATATACATAAAATTGGAGACAGGGTTTCATATATCCCATCCTGGCCTTGATCTTTCTATGTAGCTGAAGATGATCTTGACCTTCTGATCTTCTTGCTTCTGCCTCTTGAAGTGTTGGTATTACAGGCATGTGTTACTATGCCATGTTGATGGGTCCTGGGGACCAAATCAGGACTTTCTGCATGCTGGGTATGCACTTTCTACATGCCTTGCTCCAGACTCTTTTTCTTAACATATATTAATTTTACAAAATGACAGGTTTATTGTTGCATTTTAAATGTACTCACAATGTACTAAGGTCATATTTACTCCCAGATTTGATTTTATTATTAATTCTTTTGATTAGCATACAAAACAATAGATTTCACTATGATGTTTCTATGCACACATGTCATTTTACTTTGTTCTCTTTTATCTGTCTCCCCTCTACCCACTTTTTGCTGGGAGCCTTTTTCCTCAAATTGCTCCTACTTCCATTTTTATAGCATTTGGATTCTTGCCCTCCCCCTTTTCTCCCTGTCACTTCGCTACTTCTCTGTGGCCCTTTTTACACTTACTTGTGGCTAAGAATGGGACTTCCTCTGGAGGATATCCAATGTTCCCTGAATATGTGTTCGTTAGGTAGACTGTTCTGTAGAAGTTAATTAGGTCAAATTGGTAATTGCATTTCAGTATCTTTATTTACTTATTTTCATTGTTTTAAGAGCATATAATAAGAGATTTATACTCTCGGTGTTTTTGTAAAGTGGACAACATGGTACTGTTGTTATTGGGTATCTACAAGTATTGGTTCCAGGATTCCAAAGAGACCCCCAAATCTGTAGATGCACAATCACCTTCTATAAATGTCATATTTGTTACCTGTGTATAGCCTTATGGTATTTTAAATAATCTCTAAATTTCTGTATCGTATCTAGGATGGTGTAAACATTCTGGATATTTTTAGGGGACAATGATGAGGAAAAAAATGTACACATTCAGTAAAGACAGTTTTTCTAAGTATTTTTAAACCGTGGTCAGTTGAGGCTATAGATATGAAATGTAAGAATATGAACAACAGCTAGGTGGTGGTAGCACACACTTTTAATCCAAATATTCAGGAAGCAGAGGGAGGTGGTTCTCTGAGTTCGAGGCCGGTCTGGTCAACAGAGCAAGTTTCAGGACAGCCAGGGCTATACAGTAAAACCCTGTTTGAAAAACAAAACAAAACAAAAGAATATGAACAGCAGACTGTGCGTTATATTGTACAGTAGATCCCTAGGACTTATTTTTTGGGAATTTGCAATTTTATTTCTGGCTCTTCCTAGGCCCTGGCAGCTACAATTCTATTATTCACCTTTTAGCCTGAATAATTTAGACATCTCATATAAGTGTAATCATGCAGTTTTTGTCTTTCTCTGTATTGTTTATGTCCCTGGACATAGTGTCTTCAGTGTTCATACATGCTATAACATACAACAGTATTCCCTGAATTTTATCGTCAGAATATCCCATTACAGGAATATAGTACATTTCCTGTCTCTGTTGATGGATGTTTATGCTGTATCTATATCTTAGTTGTTATAAATAGTGAATAGTGCTTCAGTGACCATGAGGTGATAATACTTTTAGAAGATCTCAGTTAAGTTCTTTTGGGTTAATGCCTGCGATTGGCATTGCTGAAGCACCAGATACTTTTACTTCCTATTTTGAAGAATTCCATGTTTTTCTTGGTGATTGTGCTATGTTACCTTCCCACCAGTATTGCTTGTGGATTCTAATTGCTTCACATAGTTGCCATCACTTACTATATTTTTGATAATTTTTCCTAACAAGAGTGGACTAATATCTCACTGCAGTTTTGGTTTCCATTTCTCTAATGATTAAAGGTATAATACACACCTTCATGTGTCTGTTGGTCATTTTGAATATCTTCTTTAGATAGATCCTTATTAAAAGGCCTTTAATTATTTTAAAGCATAGACCATTACCATTATTTTATCGTATTATTTATTCACAGGAGTACCTTATGTATCTTGGACATTAATCCCTTCTCAGATACATGGTTTGCAAGTATGCATTTTATTCTACAGTTTTTTTAAATTGAACTAATTCCATTGTTGCATAAAAGTTTTTCCTTTGACGGGGTCCTACGGCTAAGCACACCTTTTCTTGGTGAGTACAAAGCAGATAAACATGAGCAAGGGTAGAGGAATGTACAGGTTCACTGTCTGCAGCTGGGACGGGAGCACTGGGATTATTCCATAAGCAGTGTCTTTTTTGAATGAAGGAAGCCTGAGGCTCTGAAGTACTGAGCTTAAACCTATTTGTGTAAGTCAGCTCTTTATAGGTGGTACATCTGCATCACCTTCAGTTTATGACAGACATTGGGAGGATTCTCAGTTTAACGTTATACGTCGAGGAGGAAAAATAGTCAGCACATTCTTGGGCATGATTAGCTCAAAGTTGTGGGTAAATGCCAAACATATTTCCAGCCATATTTAGCAAGCATACTAAAGATGGTTGACATAAATACTACTTGGTATACTACAGTACTTTTCTCCAAAATGGTTTTACCTGAAACCATAGAAAAAGGAGATAGTATTAATGTAGGACTTTGCCCTTAAGGCCATCTTCCTCTCTCGGCTCCTAATTGTGCCACGTTTTTTTTTTTTCTTTTATTTCTTGTACTTTTGATGTTATGTACAAAAAATTTACTAAAATCAATATTATAAAGCCTTTCTGGCATAGATTTTGAAATTCTAAAATGTATCTTACATTCAAGTGTAATACATTCTGAATTAATATTTGTTATAATGTAGATGAGGGCTTTGAGCCTCTGTTTTTACAGAGCTATCTAGTTCTTTGTTGTCACTTGTTGATGACCTCATTTTGTATTCTTTGGAATATTTTTGATTATCACTTGATTGTACATGTTCATGTTTACTTTGGGGCTCTCTGTTCCCTTCTATTGGGCTACATGGATGTTTTCTTTCATCAATAACATTTTGGTTTTATTACTGCATATTTATATTTTGAAGTCAGGTGTTGTGACACAGTTTCATTATTCTTTTTAGATTTTTCTTTATTCTTTTCTAATTTCACACATATATAGTGTGTTTTGATCATATTCTCCCCATTATCTTTGGCTATCCTCTTCCCTTTCTCAATGAAACCCGTTCACTTCCAATTGACCTCCACCCTCTATTTTGATGTCATTTTTATTTGTGATCTGCTGCATATAATTTGAGTTCTCTGCATATTCAACAATTGGGGGTTATTTACTTGATCAAGGGTAAATTAGTAGTAGCTACATCACTGAGACACATGAGTATCACTGCTGCTGTGAGCCCATAGGTACAATAGTCAGGTTATGTCGAGGAATCAGCTTTTCACAGCACTTCTTCACATGCTCTGACTCCTACATTCTTTCTGTCCCTCTCATCTACAGTGTTTCATGACCCTTGAAGGGGCTTGCTTAAGGCTGAGCAATCAAAAGTCAGTTATTATTAGAACTTTAACTACTAAAAGAATCTCAGCATTGCTTACTGCCTACTGTAAAAACAAATGAACAAAACCCTGAAAAACAAAAGCTTCTTTGAGCAAGGTTAGAGTGGTTTAATCCATGGATACCAACATAAACATATTTGGAAGCATTTTGACAACATGTCTGTTTAGCAAAATAATAGTAAGTCCCCATCCCTCAAGGGTCTAACACCTTTTGATCAGGTATATGGTACTAGGCATGAAATCCCTCCAATGGAAGAGATCTCAAATCCAATCAGGAAATAGTTGGTTACACCCATAAGAGTAATGCCATTATTGCACCACTGGATACATCTTGCCTGGCAATGTGGTATTGTAGCTTACAGGATTACCAATTGTGTTCATTTTAATCAAGAATGCTTTTTCTGATTTGGGTCTTTTGTGATTTCATATGAACTTTTGAAATTTATTTTCTATTGAAAAAAAATGATATGGAGACTGTAATTGAGTTTTCATTGACTATGAACATTTTCATAATGTTAAATATTTCAAGACACAGATGAGACACAGATGTAATATATCTTTCAACTTCTTGTGTCATCTTTAACTTTCTTCATCAGCATTTAAAAAAATTCTGGTGTATAAAAAGTCTTGCATTCCTTCAGTAAAGTGTATTCAAACATGCTTCATTCCTTTTCAGGCTTTTCTAAATATAATTGTCTTATTCATTTCCTTTTTAGTGTAAAAAATACAACTAAATTTTATACATCAATTTTGCAAATTCTGTAATTTTTACTAAATTCATTTATTCTAACAGATATTTGTAGCATCTTGAAGTTTTCTATGTAACATTGTGTCTTCTGTAAACTGATAGTTTACTTTTGTTCAGCTGAGATCCTTTTACTTATTTTCTTTTTGCTACCTGATGGTTCTACTAAGGGCTTTTAAGTACTATGCTGAAAGAGTTTGCTTCTTTGGCTTACTCCCAATTTTTGAGGGAAAGCTGATTTTTTCCACTGTTGACCATACTGGTAGTGTTTACATAAGACCTTTATTATGGTGAGGTGATTCTTTCTATTCTTATTTAGTAAAATCTTCTACATGAAACTTTACATGTCCAGTTTTGTTAAGAGATTTCCTTCATCTATTAATGTGATCTTTTCCTTCATTCTGTCAAGGTAGCAATGTCACATTATTTGAATTTTGCATACTGAACCATCTATATCTCATTGATAAATCCTACTTGGTTACACTGCACAGTCTTTTCACTACGTTGTTGCATTGGACTCAACTAATGTTTCTTTGTGAGACTTTGAATCTATATTCATCAGAAATAATTTCCTTTAGTCTCTTGGGTATGACAGTTGTGTGGGTCTCATGAAATGAGTTATGTTCCTCCTCTTAAATCTCAAAGAGTTTCATAAAGACATGCACCAGTATTGGAAAGCCCCCACTAGAACCGTCAGACAACACTCTTAAAGACTGTGGAATTTACCAGTGAGTACACTAAATTGAGAAATTATGCATTTTTAAGGGATGGAAAAATATAACTTCAGAAAAATAAGAAACAATTATATGGAGTCAACAATGAAAATGAGTTAGGTGTGGTACCTGTAGTCCCAGGTATTGGGAGACAAAAGCAGGACAATCGATTGAACCCAGTGGTTTGTGCAAGTGTTGTCAAATTAAGCAGACTCCTAAAATGAATACTAAAATACTAAAATAAGGGTGGATAATTTCATCAAGGAAAACTTCAAGGATTTAATCAATTTCTCTAAAACTGTTTTGGCTTGTAGACATTTCCTTATGAGTCTTGGTCTCTGTCCTAGAAAAACTAGTAATAAATACACAGTGCTTTCTAATTTTATATTACATGTTACATGGTAGCTTTTAAACTTGAGACTTATTTGAATGGTTTTAGAAATCATAATATATTGCTAAACTCCAAGTCAATGATTTATCTTAATAAACAAAGACTGGAACTGTAAGGATTAATTGCAATGGAGAGACCCATACCTGCATGTTTGAATAGATGAACCACAGAGCAAATTAAGTTAGGTGTGTGTGTGTGTGTGTGTGTGTGTGTGTGTGTGTGTGTGTGTGTGCACATGCATGGATGTGTAAAGTAATATTTCATCTTACATTGTTTGGAACTGATAGTTGCAGTCACTGCTTTGTGGGACAGTTATTAAGAAGCAAGAATAAACTTATTACTAAGAGAAAACAGGCACTTTATGATGCTTCTTACTGATGTATCAACTGCCATGGTCAGGTGAAGAAGAAGATAAACTACCTAGAAGAGAAAGCTTGAGACCAAAGAGGAAACGGACCAGAGACATCATCAATGAGGATGATCCAGAACCAGAGCCAGAGGATGAAGAAACAAGGAAGGCAAGAGAAAAAGAAAGGCGGAGGAGGCTGAGGAGAGGAGCGTAAGTTATTTTCCCTATAGCTGGTGGCATTATTATACAAAAACACATGCAAGAAGATTGCTCTATGTGGAAACTCACTGGACTTTTATCAGTCATTAAAAGTACTTCCATATGACATTTGGAATCTGATCTGCCATTTTTCTCCACTTAAATTTAAATACTAAAATATAGTTTCTAAAATGAATATACACTATGAACTATGAGGAAATCTCCTTGGAAAGACTTAAATTGTCACAGGCTTTTACAATATTATGGTTGTTTTAAATATGTGAAAATTATAATATCAAATTGTATACAGTGTAACATATGATATATAGAAAACTCCAGAAGAATGAGCTCCAGTCACTTTAATGGAGAAATATTTTGTAAAATACTACTAAAGCTAGTATAAGAGCTATGAACAATTTTTTACAGTGTTATAGGGTTATTAATAAAGAAATGAGTACAAGACAGAGTTGTATGTAGTATTCAAAGAAGCCTAAAATGCTAACTGCTAGGAATTTTATAGAAAGAAAGTGTGCTGCTGGTTTCTGTCATAGAAGGTTGGGGATACACACACACACACACACACACACACACACACACACACACACACACAATTAGTTTGTTCTTGTTCTGAAGACGGGGTCTTACTATGTAAGCCTTGGCTGGCCTGGAATTCACTGTGTGAACTAGGCTAGCCTCTGAAGTGCTAAGATTAAAGGTGTGAGCCACCACACTCAGATCATATTTATATTTAAAAAAATCAACATCTTTTAGCTCCAAACTTCTGACACTGTAGAGAGTAATGTGTTTAAATGTTATTTTTAAAAGATCCAAGAATATTATTTTTTGGGTTACTGGAAATTTGATGATGACAAGGAGGGAAGAAAAGTGTGCCTGCACACATCTAATTATGGGAGAACCTAGAGTCTTTGAAAAGTATTCAAGCAAAGAGTCAACCTGTTCTATACCTGAAGATTAGGAGGCTTTGTGGACTACCAACAGGCAGTGAGATCCATTACTCTTCTACTCACTGAAGCATGTTCTCAACTCATCCTCCCAAGATGATATCTTTCAGTATTCAGCAACTCTATTACATTATCCTAAGAAATAGTGATTATTTGACGAAACTGTATGGAAATTTGTCAGGTAGGGGCACAAAGCTTTGCATTGATAGGGTATACTTCTTTTTTTTATTTTCTTTTTATTTTCCAGTTTAAATTTAGATAAGAAACAAGGTTGCTTTACAAGTCAGTTCCAGGTCCCTCTCCCTTTCCCTCCCCTCCTCCCGTGCCCTCCCCCCAACCCCCCCCCCGTTATCCCCTCATTCCCCCAGGGAGGGTGAGGCCCTCCATGGGGGTGTCCATAGTCTGTCATTTCATATAGGGCAGGGCCTAGACCCTTCCCTAAGAGTTCAGGGTGAGAGTGCACCTCACATTGTTCTATGGGAGTCCAAAGTCCATGTGTAAACTTGGGATGGGTACTGATCTGCTGCCCAAGGCTCAATAGATTACCTAGGCCTCCTCACTGACACCCAGATTCAGGGGGTCTTGATCAGTCCTATGCTGGATTCCCAGGCTGATGCCTGGGATTCAAGAGTTAACCTTTGTCTGGTCAGCTGTTTCTGGGGGTTAAACCAGCCTAGTCTTAATCCCTTTGATCATCAGTCCTCCCTCTCTGTTACTGGCTTTCTTGAGTTCAGCTCAGTACTTAACCAAGGGAGTCTGCCTCTTCTTCGATCAGCCACTAAATGAAGTTTCTGTTTCCCAGACTCTCTGGCCATAGGATTGTAGGCTGGCACTCCCCAGATCTATGTCTAAAATCCATATATGAGAGAGTACATGCCATGTTTCTCTTTTTGTGACTGGGTTACCTCACTCAGGATGGTTTCTTCTAGTGTCATCCATTTGCCTGCGAATCTCATGATTCCATTATTTTTTTCTGCTGAATAGTACTCCATTGTGTAGATGTACCACATTTTCTCTATCCACTCTTCAGTTTAGGGACATCTAGGTTGCTTCCAAGTTCTGGCTATTACAAATAAAGCTGCTATGAACATAGTGGAACAGACATCTTTGTTGTATGAATGGGCATCTTTTGGATATATGCCTAAGAGTGGAGTTGCTGGGTCTTGTGGTAGGTTTATTCCCATTTTTCTGAGGAATCTCCATACTGATTTCCAAAGTGGCTGAACTAGTTGGCACTCCCACCAGCAATGGAGGAGTGTCCCCCTTTTACCACATCCTCTCCAGCATAAATTGTCATTGGTGTTTTTGATTTTAGCCATTCTGACAGGAGATGGTATCTCAGAGTTGTTTTGATTTGCATTTCTCGGATGGCTAAGGATGTTGAGCACTTTCTCAAGTGCCTCTCAGCCATTTTAGACTCCTCTATTGAAAACTCTCTATTTAGTTCTGCAGCCCACTTTTTAATAGGGTCCTTTGGTGTTTTGGAGACTTGCTTCTTGAGTTCTTTGTAAATTTTGGAGATCAACCCTCTGTCAGATGTGGGATTAGTGAATATTTTTCCCATTCTGTGGGCTGCCTTTTTGTCTTGCTGACTGTGTCCTTTGCCTTACAGAAGCTTCTCAGTTTCAGTAGGTCCCATTTATTAATTGTTGATCTCACTGTCTGTGCTACTGGTGTTATGTTCAGGAAGCTGTCTCCAGTACCAATTCGTTCAAGGGTACCACCCACTTTCTCTTCTAAGAGGTTCAGTGTGGCTGGATTTATGTTGAGGTCTTTGATCCATTTGGACTTAAGTTTTGTGCATGGCGATAAACATGGATCGATCCGCATTCTTCTACATGCCAGTCTCCAATTATGCCAGCACCATTTGTTGAAGATGCTTTCTTTATTCCATTGTATATTTTTAGCTTCTTTGTCAAAGATCAGGTGTTCGTACGTGTGTGGGTTAATACCCAGGTTTTCAATTCGATTCCATTGGTCTACCTGTCTATTTTTGTGCCAATACCAAGCTGTTTTCAGGACTAGAGCTTGAGGTCAGGGATGGTGATGCCTCCAGACGTTGCCTTGTTGAACAGGGTTGTTTTGGCTATCCTGGGTCTTTTGTTTTTCCATACAAAATTGATTATTGTTCTTTCAAGGTCTGTGAAGAATTGTGCTGGGATTTTAATGGGGATTGGATTGAATCTGTAGATTGTTTTTGGCAGGATTGCCATTTTTACTACATTGATCCTACCTATCCAAGAGCATGGGAGATCTTTCCATTTTCTGAGGGCTTCTTTAATTTCTTTCTTCAAAGATTCAAAGGAGGAACAGCTGATTCCCTGGACTCTCACCCTCCTCTGGTTTCCTGGTCTCCTTGGTGGAAGAGAAGACCTGAGTCTGGGGTCCTTGGTTCCTACCGGGATTGGGAGCTCTGTGCAGTTCCCAGGCGATCTGCAGGCACTGGAACACAGGCTGGGAAGCCGGCCTGTTTACCTGATGCTGCCTGAGGAACAGCTGCTTCCCTGGACTCCCAGCCTCCTCTCGGGTATACTTCTTTTTAGAAATACTTTAGCTTAAAATTTTAATTTCCCTTATACTTTTATTTCTTTTTCCTTCTCCTTCAATTAAAAGATATCATTTGCTTTAGATTTTTAACTGTTATTTTGATTTGCATTTTCTTTTTAACAAGCATTTAAAAAAAGTAAAATCTAATCCAATTCCAAGTCCCATGTAATGTTATGATGGTTAGTGCTATTATAGAGCATTATGTCCTATTAGGAAAGCTTGTTCTTTCTAGGAAGGATTTAATCAAGAAAACATCACCAGTGCACACATGTGTGCCACAAATTCCATAATAGAATTTGCTTTTCCTTCGCATTTATGCCCTGAGGAGGAGAATCTTTCTAAGATGACTGGCACAATAGGCTGGATTCTTTCTACTTACCTGATTCACTTAGGGCTTTCATATAAAATGCCCAGCCTCTGGGAAACAGGTCCACACCCATCAGTTGAATCTTCTTCTATGACAGTGTCTCATCTCAGTTGGTTTCACTTCCATTTTGGTTCTGAGAATCCTGTAGTTACTCCCATCTCACAAACCTTTCACAGAGCCAACTTTAGTCTCCACAAAATGTTCAAATTATCTTGTCAAAGCCATGGTGCTCTGTATATTTAATGTTGGCATTCTGACTAATATTTTAGGGTGTATCTTTCTATTGTTTTCTTTATAGATAAGAATATTTTGTTAAGAAGAAAAATATTCTTTTGAAATGTATTTTGAAGGAAATTAGTAGGAAAAATGAGGACATATTGGCTTAAGTGAATTAAAGTGACTTAATTCAAAATCTTTCTTCTTTAAATGTTCAAGCAAAGCCTCAGGGAGTTTCCCTTACCCTCCTAAACATTTAAATCCAAGTGAATCCAAGGCTATAATGCTATCTTTGGTGATGGTTAAGGATGGTTAAGACATACTGCCTTGATAGACACTGTAGAGTATTTCTAGTGATATCACAGGCTTTTCCTGACCCACTTTTAAATAAGTAAGCAAAACATTCACAGTAGTAAAAATTCAGTATGTTATGCCTGTTTTTACTCACAACTGTTGGTAAGCTTAAGATAGAAAGTCTTTCTTGCACAGAACAGTTCTGAATTTTAGAAGGTGGAACATATGTTTATATATATATATATATGTATATATATATACATACATACATGAGAGTTTTCTGTGGATGGTTCCTAGATAAGCAGTTTCTTTGTGATGCAGATGAGTGTTGTATTTTAGTTGCTTGGGTATTTGAAGGTAACTTATTTGTCAGCCACACTTTGAAGTACAGCAGGATCCTCTTGGAAGTTACGAACAATTAACCAAGTCTTTAAAAATATACAAGTCTCCGGCCACTTACTGCAGGAGAGTATATCTTCCCAAGTTATAGGAACTTTGTAGAGCGTGTTCCAGTACACATTGATTCAATTACTGGGTTCAGGGTAAGAACTCAATGTTATTCAGGAAAGTTTGAGACATAAGTGTTTCTTCAATAAATATTTATACAGACTCCCAAATTTATAGTACAGGAAGGAAGAAGCTACCCAGACACAAATTATTATGAAGTAAGATAGGTTATATGTGCTGGAGAAAAAATATGATCAAAGTATTTGGAGACTGAAAGAAGTGAAAGTTTCTGGAAATTCAGGGCTACAGGGGAAGTAGGTTAGTGTCAGAAAGGTCTCTGTTAAATGATCTCTTATATTTGGCATGTAAATTTATAAGCTTTGAGACCATTCATACATTGATTGGCTCATTCTTTTATCCTTACTGAGATGGTCTTATATATGATTCATGGAGGAGCTCATTAATGTAGTATATTATATTACTTAATGTACACATGGGTTATTCTTGGAATAGTGGGTCAATTAAAGACTTGAAATATCATATAATTAAGTTACTAATCTTAAAAATCTCTTATGGTAAATTGACTCCATTCTTGAGAGTTTCATGTATCTAGTTCCTTTTGGTAGCTTTATTTTTAAAAGAAACTTGTTTTATGATTTGTGTTCATTTCTACAACTACATGGAAACAAGTTGAATTATTTTGATAAAACCTATCTAACCTTTCTAAGACTAACCAACCCAACCTATATATTGCTTCAGATTATCTCAAGTATTTTATGCCATTGTTATACAGTATCACAGGATTTTGTATAATAAATACCAATAATTAAAAGAAATAACCCAGTGATCATCTGAATTACATCTTAGCGAGGCTCCTTGCATTGTTTTCTTGAGCCAAGATTGCTATTTTCAGCAAAATACATTTCCCAGTTTGCTTTCTGTTGCTGTGATAAAACCTTGACCAAAAACAACTTATGGATGGAAAGGGATCCAATGGTTCTCAATGTTCCTAAAGCTATAAGTCTTTAATACAGTTCCTCATGCTGTGGTGACTCCCAACCATAAAATTATTTTTGTTGCTACTTCATAAGTGTAATTTGATGCTGTTTTGAATTATAATGTAGATATCTAATATGCAGTATATCTGATAGGTTACCCAGTGAAAGGGTCATTTGACCATCAAAGGGGTCATGACCCACATGTTGAGAACCACTGGTTTAAGCTTTCACTTCACCATCTATCATAGAGGGAAGTCAGAGCAGGAAATCAAGCAGGAGCAAAGGTAGGAACCACGGAGGAAAGCTGTTTGCTGACTTGCTCCCCATGGCTGGCTGATGAAGCTACCTTTCTTTTACAGGCCAGGCCCATCTGCCAAGTCTCAACATCCTCCACAGTAGGCTGGGTCTTCCTGCATCAATTAGGAGTCAAGGAAACTTCTAACAGACATGCCTCCAAGCCAATCTGATAGAGACAGTTCCTTAGCGGAGGTTCCCTCTTCTTAAGTGTGTTGAGTTGACAAGCAAGTTTGCCCCCAAAACATTCTACCATTAGAAGGTGTTATTCTGGGGTAATCTCAATTTTTATTAAAAGAATAAAGGCATTGTTAGAAACTATATATTGACAACAAGTAGGAGATTACAAAGTCATTTTCTAGCCTGGTCTGCAATCTGCAAATGTGTCCTCCTACATTATGATTAATCATTTAAAAATAGCTTTCCTCCATATACCTGTTGTGTCCAATAAGAAGCTCAGTGAAATATAAAATATGTTTTCAACAATAATGAATATTTTCCAATCTCTTTTTCAGTCTGGCTCTAGTGAGGTGAGAGACTTCAACCATGAATTGAATACTGAGAATTTTGTATGAGGGTTGTTAGAGGTTGTAAATAAAAGACTCATTAACTCGGTCTTTTGTAAAGGCAAGCAAGGGAAGTGAAATATGATGGCAGCAGCTGTCTAAGGCAGCTAACATTCATGAGCTGGAACCTTGAAAGTATTAAAAGGGAAATGTGACATGTTGTGGAGAGACCAAGGGAGCTGAAGCCTGAAGTGCCAGAGAGGGCTGATGCACAGAGAGGATGAAGTTAATTCTGCTCCTGTTGGGAGAGATGACAGACTAGACTCAACCTCCTGGAGTCAAGTGTTACCAAGGAGGAAGTGTCAGTCTAGGAGGCAAATGGAAGTAGCAGGAATCCCCAGGAAAAGATGAGGAAAGGTACTTAGCGATTCCTACAGTTTGAACATAAAACTGAGTCTCCTTACAAAGCAAAACTATGGCTTACAAGAGTCCTAGTCTCAGCACCATAATATTAAGCACAAAAGGGTATATTTAAAATTGAGACACTATTCTAATAATTAAAACAATCTATTGCCAACAATTTGATTTCTGTAATATAGTATTATGCTGCCCCACTCAAAACACGTGGCTCATGTTTAGATTTTGTTTTCTTTAGCTTCCAGTTTTGCAACAGTAGGATCACAGAAAAAAAACATGGAATCTACTTAGTGAGAAGCAAAATTCCTTTGAAGGCGCCTTCAAAGCCTTTGCTGGTACTGAAAGCATTTCAAGCTGAATTTTATCAAATGAAGTTTTGGGTGTAATTAACAGATTAGGTTTCCTCTGAGAAGCAGAGTTTCATTTTTCCCTGTTTCAATTTTTCCCCTTTTCTCGTGAGACAGGGCTAATTTAAAATTTCTAAGGACACTTCAAAGACATCTTCACCTTTAATTTATTATCCTTATTGAAAAATAAGGTTCTTAAATGAAACATAGAGTGAGGGAGGATAGCTGCCAAGGGGAACAGAGGAGAGAAGCGTGTATCTTGATGGATCTGTAACTATCCCTTCCACAGCTTCCTCGTTCTGACAGCTAGAGGCTAAGTACATAAAAGAACACTTCCCTGTTAAGCATCAGCATGAAAATAGCATTGTTGAAGGTTATAATAATCCTGAAGCTGGCCTGATGGCAGTGTTGGGATGTGAATTCTAGAGCTTAGGGGACTCCTCATTGACTTTGGGCAGCTGAGTTTTAAAAGGGGGAAGGAGCCTTTTTAGGTTTGGAAATGAAGCAAAGTTTAACCTTGCATTTTCTTTTAAAGGGAAGAAGAAGAAGAAATTGATGAAGAGGAATTAGAACGACTGAAGGCAGAGCTAGATGAGAATAGACAAATGATTGCTACTGTCAAGTGCAAACCTTGGAAAATGGAGAAGAAAATTGAAGTTCTCAAGTAGGTTGCTACTTTTTACACAGAGAAACATATGTCTCAGAAATTTGACTACCTTTGTGTTATAGATGATGCTATAGTCACATGTACGCGTATGCGAGAGAGATTTGGGATTAATGATTATAAAGTGAAAACAATTTTGAACATCAGCATGTAGTTACCTTGAGTCATCTGCTCCTTATATTGGGGTTACTTAGCTATTATTTCTCTGCAAAACAGTGTTTGAACTTCACAGGTTTATATGGTTACTTGCTTTTGTTTCTCTATAGTGCTCCAGATTCTAGAGAATCTTTCCATCATGGCTTTCATGAAAGCACAGGCAGGCTGCTGAGCTGCTATAGCAGTATATAGGGTTCAATAGAGGTTTAAGCCACCATCTAATCCTTGGTCACATGGGAGTTACCCCTTTTCATCCTCATGTAGACTGCTGAGGTGAGTGCAAACACACCCAGAACATAGCTTTCCACACACTGCACATGCAAAATCAAGCAGGCGTCTCTTTCTGGAGTCAGGGTAGGAAAGACAGCATCATTTGTCTGCTGTGACCTTGAGAGAGGCAGACTGTGCAAAGGAACACAGCTGCATTGATACCTGTGTCAGTATCTTTTGATTTTACCACAGATGTTATTTGTCCATGAGATGGTTGTATACATGGTGGCGAGTTTCAAAACTATCTTCCTTCTTCCCTAGTTCACTAATAATGCTGTCGAATGATAGGATCACCTAACTGCCACTGGTAATGATGAAGGAGCTCTCTGTAAAGTCTTCCTGCCCAGCCTGGTTCCAGAGCCACATCAGTCCCAAATAAACACACAGGAGGCTATATTAATTATGAAGCTGTTGGCCTTGCTTGTTTCTTACTGGATAGCTCTGACTTAAGTATTTATCCCATAATTGTTAATCTAAGTATTTCCCTTACTGGAGAACTTTCCGGGCTTCTTACCCCATGACGTTACATCTTTTCTTCCTGTGTTTCTCCTACCCAGAGTCCTCCTGGACTCCTAGTCCCACCTATCTTGGTTCCCTATTGGCAAACAGTGCTTTATTGACATCTACACAGGACTTCCCTCATCATCTCCTCTTTTCTGTCTAAAAAAATGAAAGGTCTTAACTTTAACATAGTCAAATTATATATAACAGAACAGTTATCAAGTAAGAACACAGTTACAATATTTTAGCAATAATTAAATAAAATATCATCTATCCCATCCTTGTGAGTCCAAAGTTCTATATGTAGCTTATCTTTTATCATAACTAAGGAAAACTATAGCTATCTGTCTTCAACTCCATCAAAGACCACAGAAGGATAATATATAAACACTAGGATTGACAGAGACATCTTACTGCCTGGATAGTCACCCAAAGTTCCTCTGTAATGTTGGGGCATCCATCTTCAGCCCATAGGCCACAGTGTGTCCAGAAGATTTCTCAGCAAAGCAGGAAATTTCAAACTGTCCATCTGCATTGGCAGTCTGTCAGTCATTTTTCTGTGTTCTGCAGAAAGTCTCGTAGACTCTTCCATGAATCGGGGAACCCTGAAGGACTGTTTGAATTCAGCAGTCACTTTCCTGTGGGTCCTGCATGTCCAGTTTATACAGAAACAGTCAAGCAGTCTAGGCAAGAGCAGTTTCTTGCCCAAATGGCTAATCTTGCCATGTTGAAAGCATACTCCATAACGAGTTTCTTCGATGCCCATCTTCTTCTCAGGCATAATTGGTGCTGCCAGGAGCAGACATTTCTCATTGTCAAGAAAAACCCTAAACCATTTTAAATGCCATTTTCTGAAGGTCTTTGAAAGGTTTGAAGGCTATCTATCTCAAATATATCTCTGTATATCTAGAAAATCTAACTTACCTAACTATAAGTTCTGACTGTTATAAGTAGCTATCTGTAGTCTGTATTCAATCATGCATTATGTTTTAAAAGATCAGTATAAGCACAATATTTAATCAAGAGGAGAAATATACACATCACAAAATTGACCTTGAATTTGTCTCAATAAATGAAAAACCATACAAATACAAAGTACTCATTTCCATACCATAATCCCCTTTTTCCTTTAAGTAGAGATTGGTCGTGATCATTAACCAATTATAAACAACCCCATTCAAATGAAAACAAAGATTTATAAACAAGATGGGAATTAGGACGCCGCTCATTCCAAGGTGCTTCGTGCTGGAAGGGGGCGCTATACATACCATGGGGATCATGACAAAACTCAGAAACTGTGTAAGTCCTTATTTTTGTGGTCTGTAAAGCTGTATCATCTTAGCTGTTGAATCACTTGGACCACTGCTTCCAGGGGTCTTGGTTCATCAAACTACAGAAGCCTGGAAGGAATCCTCAGCTTTTCGTTTTCTGTAGAAACATAAACAAAACCTCTTTTCCAAAGTAACATATCCTTATACTTAAATTTTGAAGTCAAGGCATTTTCAAAAGATAAAAGTTGAATTAATTCAGGAGCATTTATAATCAAGTGTACTTTAGTAGTTGTTCGTTCCTTAGCAATCAAAAAACTGAAAAACACAATAGCATACAGTATCCAGACTTTCTGTGTATTTTCCATCTTTACATGGCTTACTTATTTATCTATCTATTATTATACTTTTATTTCTTTATTTCTTTTATTTGAGACTGGGTTTCTCTTTGGAAATCTGCCTGCCTCTGCCTCTGCCTCTGCCTCTGCCTCTGCCTCTGCCTCTGCCTCTGCCTCTGCCTCTGGAGTAAATCCTACCGGTATGTGCCACCACAACCAGCTTCTCTATTTATTTACTACTATGCCGTTTTTTTTTTCTCTCTCAATCTTACATATATTTTTAAACACACTGTAAACCTTTAGAGGTTTTTCTTCATCCAAGCCTGACTTTACTGTAAATCTTTATGTTTTTCTGGCCACGTGTCTTGTCTGTTAAAACCGAGGCTGTTTAAACTGCAGTTTTTCCAAGATGGTGGGCATAAGTGTGATTCCAGTTTACTGTCTCAGTCTATGCTGAGATCCAGGAAAAGCTGCCAGCTTGGAGATGTGGTCACTGCCACTTCTAGCTGTATGTACAACTTTTCAATAGTTAGCAGAGCCTCTTAAAACAACCTTGTTTTTTTTTTTTTTATGCTGAGTCAGGAAGACTTCCTTAAGCAAGCCGCGTGACTCTGCTTGTCACTAGCAAAACAGAGCCCACCTGAGAAAATGCTGCTACCAAAAATCTGTGCTTTTTTCCGTTCTTCTGTTTCTAACATTTCATTGAGAGAAATTAGTTCTGAACCGATATTAGAAATCTCTTATTTATATTAGTGTTAACTTGTATCAATTGACAGCCTCATCTCTGTCACATGAGAATGTGTCTTTCCGATCAATGGGCATCACAAACTACAGTTAAACAAGAAAAATATGCTTGGTAACTTCCTGTCTATTGATGTAATTGTGAGTGTCTAACAAATTGCTCTGGTTCATTTTACTAATTCTTATCAAATACTTTGAAATTCTCATTTAGAGGTTATTAAAAGGAATAATAATAACAACGAATTCTGATCCTCTTCCCCCCTTGAGACTTAAATGTTTTATAAACTTTCCTTTGCTCAGTGACAGAGAGGGAGGAGTGATAAACAAAGGGGTCAAGACCAGAGAAACAGTTGACCTGAACAAGGGGGGGATCTTGTATCCCAGACTGATGGCTGAGAGGCAAGCATGGGACTGATCCAGACCCCCTGAATGTGGGTGTCAGTGAGGAGACCTAGGCAATCTATGGGACTTTGGGTAGTAGATCAGTATTTATCCCTGGCACACAAATGGACTTTGGGTGCCCATCCCACAATGAGGGATGCTCTCTCAATCTGGACACTTGGGAGAGGGCCTGGGCCCTCCCGCGGAAAGAAATGACAGACTCTAGAGATCCTCCATGGAGGGCCTTATCCTCCCTGGGGAATGAGTGGGGATTGGGTGGAGGGCTGGTGGGGGCTGGTGGGAGGGAGTGGACTTGGAGGGGAGAGAGAGGGAGCTGGGATTGATATGGGGAGCAAGCTTGTTTCTAATTTAAATATATAATAAAAAGTGTTAAAAATTTCATTTGCTAAGATGAGCTTTGAAATGCATGATCAATAGATTTTTGTCTGTGTCTAAGAACCTTTGTTCAGGATTCACCTTCTGTATGTCCACTGCACCATTTGACCACAGTGTCTTACAGGTGTTCTTGTCCTTGCTTTGCATGGGAAGGATTCTCAAGTGGCCCCAGGGCTACTACTCCTGTTTCTTTGGGAAAATGGTACAGTTGATTACTGTTTTTGTGCCTGCTTTGAAATTTCATACATGTGTGCTAGTTAAATCAGCCAAAAGTTCTTCCCCAATGGACAATGAAAAGATATGAGTCATGGAAAAATGACTCTATGCTAATGTTCAAGGGTATTTCCTAAAATTGTTAGTAGTAAACTTTACTCAATAATTGATACACTTACTTATGCAAAGTTAAAAATAAGTTTATTAGTTTATCCATAGTTTAAAATGAAATATGAACTTAAAAGAAGCAGGGTTTTATGTAGTGCCATTTAATGGTTCTAAATAATAAATGTTATGGATAAGAAAGTCCTAAAGTTTTCTTCCAGATAAATCAAAGTATGGTTACCTTCATGTGAATTTACTATTATAGATGGTCTCTAGGGACTGTGCATGCTAAGCATATGCTCTACCACTGAACTATACCTGCAATCATCATAATTGCAACTCAACATTGCCTATTTCCCACAGCCTTGTCTGTCAGTATATGATGCATGATAACACCCACTGAATCAGTTTTCTCAGCTTCCAAGAGCTCCCCACCTTACAACAAGTTTTTGATAAACCTCAAATAACTGGACTTAAACTCTTCAGCAGTTTAGCTGAAAGTAACAGCTAGTTTTTACAACTTGTTTTATACTATAAATATAATGTTGATTTGAAAGGTGATGAAGCAAGATGCATTCGTTAACACTTAAGATTATCTAGGAATGACTTTGAATATATTTTATCTAAAACA